AAAGGCAAGAGACCCGCTGTTTAAATTGACAAATAATGTTTGTTGGCTTTCAACTGCCTCAAAGGCAATCTGCTGAAAAGTTTATCTCAAGTTGAAATGAAAAGGAAACATCTTAAATAAATCCAGCTGTTTGTTTCAGTTCTTGCTTTTTTAATTTAGTTGAGCCAAGCACATTCATTTTCAGAAAAAAAAAAAAGAAAACTGCAGATGTATAGTGCTCAGGAAATTGATTTTGGGGGGAAACTCGGTAAAATAACAAAAATGTCATTTCTGCATAAGAATCCCCATCTTTTCAGATGTTAGTTGAGAAATAATGAAGCCCTCCAGCTGACTGAGGAGGGAATAGGAAACGATTTTTCTTCTCTTCCTGAGCACGGGGCCCATTAGGAACTGGAAGTGGAGAAATCCCTGGGGGAAGCTCTGTGTCTCTACGGCCGTCCTTCTCAGTAGCCACCACAACTATCTCAACTTTCCCCACACCTGTTTATGTCATGCCGCCCATTAAAAATAGCAGTCTGTGGCTGCCTGTTGGTTTTGAAGAATTTGCCATGATTTGGGAGTATTCAAGAGTAAGTACATGATTCAGAGTGAGTAGTTGCTAACTTCACTGCTTTCATCATCTGGTGGCCAGGTTCAAGTGCAGCCAATCCGCAGCCTGTTTGGACTAAGGCATTCTTGCAGAAGGTGGATTTGGAGTTGACTGTGGGCAGAGTGGCCAGTGATCCCTGACTCCATCAGTTCAGCAGCTGGGCAACAACTTTACAAATATCTAAGTGCGTATATAACTTACTGGGCAGCCATGCCTGGTAAAGCTGTCAAATGAGTGATTCTTTTAAATGGTAAAATAAAAAGATGCACACAGGACAAAAAAAAGTGTTTGCACAGCACACTGGAATCAACAGATGGGGTAGTTTTTAAAAGGTTAACTAGATAAAAAGAAAAATCAGGTCTCTGATTATCATGGTAACTGTGCTGCTAATTAACTGAATTCTGCTGAGAATAAAGCAACTATGAATTTTGCTGGAGGTCAGGACTTTAGCCTCTTCCCCACCTACCCCTTCACAGGCATCTAACCCCAGAGCCACCACTGGTCAAACTCTGCTGAATTACGGCCGAATCTGCACTAGGCCTGAGGCTGGGCCTCCAACACAGAGTAGAGCCAAATAATTGAATGTAGACCAAGAGCACCTAAGTGTCACTACACAGTGATTCTCAACCGAAAGTGATTTTGTGCCCTCCCCACTCCCAGGCCAGGGGACATTTGTCAGTATCTGGAGAAATGCTGATTGTTACCAATAGGCATCTAGCAAGTCAAGGCCAAAGATGCTACTCAACGTACTATGATGTACACACTAGCTCCCTACAAGGAAAAACTATCCAGTCCAAATGGACACCTCGAAAGGTTGAGAAACTGCCCTCCTTGAACATGTAGTGAGAGGAAAAAATGTGCAAGAGGAGAATTTTTCTCCTGTGAATGACTGGCTAAAGAGACCGTGTTCTATTAAGGTGAAGTCTGGAAGCAAATACAGCTTTAACACATTGCCTGTGAACCGATATTGACACAGTGTACCGAGGTCATGGTGCTGGTGGTTGGACCTCTGAGCTGGTGATGCTGGCAACCTAATCACAGGCCCCACAAGGACCTGGGCACCTCAGCCCTCACAGCACTATGCAGAGCCACAGGAACAAGCAGTAGTATTGTAACAACTTTCACAGGAAATAAGCACTAAAGCTGGTTATAAAAAACATATTTTTCTAGTTCTATGAAGATATACTTGACATATAACTTTGTGTTGGTTTAAGGTGTAGAACATAATCATTTGATATATGTATCCATATATCAAAATGATCACCGTAATACATTTCCTTAGCACCAATCATCATACATAGTTGCACATTTCTTTCTAATGATGAGAATTTTTAAGATCTACTCTTTTATTAACTTGTCAAATATACAATACAATATTGTTAGTCACCATGCTGTACGTTACACCCCCAGGATTTATTTATCTTATTACTGGAAGTTTGTACCATTTGAACATTTACCTATTTCCCCCACCCCACCCCCACCTCTGGAAACCACCAATCTGTTCTTTGTCTCTGTGATTTGATTTTTTAGATTCCACATGTAAATTATACAGTATTTATCTCAAGAACATGTATTCTTTATCCTGGCTTATAGCCTAGTATTCATTCCATGCTAGTCAATGCTTCTGAAGAACATTTATGGAATTCCTTACTTTCTGCATAAAGAGAGTGGCTACAAAATGAATTTCTCAAAGAAAACCTCAGTTGTTAAATTCATCAATAAAAACAGAAATGTATTTTCAGAGGGAAAACCACAAGCATTCAACTAGATTTACAATTTCCCAATCTAACTCCAACTCTGACCCCTGTGCATCTTCTGGGCACTTGTGTTCACGTGGAGCCCCTAGTTTTGGGACCCTCACCAACTCCCAGCCAGGCCCTACTGCACTATGGGCAATGACAGCACGGCCTGTGGCCAAACTGTGTCTCTCCCCGCTAGCAGATCACACTGTGCACTGAGCTCTGTTAGGACTACTGGAGTCGGCGTGGCCCCAGCCTCAGGGGAGGATTGCCTTTCTGTCTGAACACAAATGGAGGCAGAAGACCCTCTATTGCTGGGCTCACCCACATTCCTTCCCCTTGGATTCATGCCTGAGAAAGTGGAAGGAAAACTGCCCTTTTCCTCTGCTTCTGCCCTTTTCCTCTGCTTCCATTTCCCGTTTTAACTCTTCAGGCCAGAAGGTGCAGGCTGTGCTTTTACTTCCCTTTCCCATCAGCAGATTTTTCCTATTGGGCATTTCCAGGGGACAGGGTGTGGCCGCTCTTTCTCCCCACTGCAGCCTCAAGGCCGTAGTTACACAGTAGGTGGTAGAGACAGGAGTGAAACTCTGTTCTCTCTCACCAAACATGTGTTCTCCTTGTTACATGTACGGAACACCATCAGTGGGAGAATCCAAGTCAACCTCTCAAATTCTCAGTAGCTGTGTGGCCTCTCTGTGCCTCAGTGTTCTTATCCATAAAATGTAGTGATTATAATAATGTCTGCTCCCTGGGAATGTTATCGAGATTAATTGAGTTAATATTTGACAGTGTAAAGCGTTATACAAATGTCAGGAAGAATTACTGTTGTGATAAATTCTTCACCCTACCACATTCGTGATAAGAGAGTTCACTCTCACATATAGGTGATGTTGGGGTTCTGTTCCTCCATTTTTTCAGAAATGTTGCTTCCTAATTAAAATCTTCATAACCATGTGAGTGAACAGTCTCTAAAGTCATTATCTAAAGTGATGTTTCTATTACAACTCTGCCTTTTAGGCTCCAATCTAAGTGTTTGTTCAAAAAAGAATACCTCATTTCTCATAGTGGCAAGTTGGACTGGGCTCATCACTGCAATTGTCCCTAAAAGCACATGTCGAGAACTGAGTCGCCACTGTGAGTATAGAGTGAGTTTTCTTTCAAGGAGGCTTACTGACCAATTAGGCTTTATTTAGTCTATTATTAACAGAATTTTACATAACCCGAGTATGTGTCATCACTGATTTGCTCTGGGAGAACTGCGCTAGCAGGCTTATTATTCCCTTCTCTCCTTTTGTATTTACCTCTGTATTGCATGGTTAATTCTAATACTTGGGTCATTGGCACTGCCTCTCACAGTGGAGACCTGGTGAGCATCCCCTCCCCTTCTGCCAACTTTTCTTCTATTGATAGGACACCTCTTTACCAAGGGGAATACTTTTCGGGTGGTTAGGATGGGACTAAATCTCCAACGAGAGTCAGTGACTGGCTCAGGGACGGGCACATAGCAGACCCTGGGGAATATGAGGGTCTTCCCAGGGATTTGTCTGCTAGAACTTTCTAGAGAAACATCTCCAGGGAGTTTCTAAACAGTAGGGTATAAGCCTTGATTTCTGGCAGCCATATTGCCTAGTACCTGGTGCACACCTGCCTGAAGAATGAAGCCGAGCAGAGAGTTGAAGAGATAGAAAGGTGCAGCCAGAGCCCTGACGACAACGTCTGCGCTCCTAGAACCTGCCAGTCTTAAAGCCGTGACTTCCCAGTCATGTCAGTGGATTCTTCCCCTACTTCTAATGTATTTATTTTGCTGTGGTTTGGGATGGGTTTCTGTCATGGGCAACTGAAAGCATCCTAATTCACAGCCTGATTGAACACTAGGTTTATCTTTGTAGAAGTGATACACATAGATATGTCTAGTGTCTGACACCACAGACCTAACTGTAGCCAGTGGGATGCCATCAGTGGTCTCAGTGGCTGAAGGGCCCCCCAGACTCACTGCCTGCTGAAGAAGAGTCATAACCTAAGGGACTAACCAGCCCTGCTTCCTTTAACCCTTTCATGGAGGCTGACTTTGGTCTCCTCTTGGATTCTGAGTAATAGCCTGCATCTTTAGAGCACCAGGAAACCTGGGTCCTTGTTGATACTGGGATCTTGTTCTCTCTTCGCCTCATTTTCTGCCTCTATCAAATCGAAGTGATGTACTAATTTGGAAAGTCACTATTAATCTTAAGAAATTATTATGATTCCTATGTCCCGATTGTTCCCTGAATTGTCTCACCCTTGCACAAATTGTAAGCTCTTTATGTGCAGAAATAACATTTAAAATTTTTCTCAGAGAAAAGACGGTTGAGGAACTCAGAAACCTACAATTAATGGAGTAAAATCCCCCAGACTGACACTAATGGCTGGAGCAAAAGACTCCATCAAAAATGTAAAAGCACAAACTACAGAAGGATAAATCAAGAATAATAATTTTTAGCACAAAATGACAATATAGATCTTTTAAAAACATTAGTTTTTCCTCACTATATAGTTAATAACAATTTTTTAAGTTTTGAAAAAAAATTTAATAACAAAAATCTTTTATAGCCCTCACCAGCATCACTCAGCTGGTTGAGCACTGTCCTGCAAAGAAAGTCTATGGTTCAATTTCTCGTCAGGGCACATGCCTGGTTGCAGGCCAGTCCCCAGCTGGGGCATGCGAAAGAGGCAACTGACTGATGTTTCTCTCCCTCTCTTTCTCCCTCCATACCTCTCTCTCTAAAAATAAAAAATATATAATATTAAAATTTTTCTTTTACAATGATTTAATGCAAAAAAATTAAATATTGCATTTATATTCATTCTTTTCTATTTGGGGAGGAGAAACTACAATGATTTTTCCCCAGATATGGAGCAAATGATATACCCTACAATTTTTTTCACTTAATATTTTGAACACTCTGTCATAGCATTAGTTTTTGAAATCATAATCTTGATAGTTACAAAATATTCCACTATGTAAACAAGGCATAATTTAATTTTTACTACCATTGAGAGACATTTAAGTTATTTCTGATTTTTCCTTATTATAAGTAACATTGCAGGGAACTTTCTAGTATATGAATCTTGGTGTTCATCTTCTCTTGCTTCCTTAATTTGTATTAATTGATTAATGATTATAATCATAATGTATGATGATTGATTAATAATTAATTTACTCACATTAAAAAAAATAAGTTATTTAATGGCCAAAATTCTTGAAAGGTTTTTAAGCAAATGATGAAGTAGTTTCTAATCTATTTTTTTGTAAGGACCCTAATTTAAAGTCACACGTACAGTTTTGTTGAGGCAATTTTGAGACAGGCATTAGCGATGTATTGTTTGTGATGTACTTGCGGAATCTGGTGGAAATATCCTCAGGGTTGGATCTCAAAATGCTACGGATGCTCAGAAGTGTGTTGTCTGCCCAATATTTATTCACACAAGAATATCTATTCACACATTATTTCACCATCTGACTTTGTCATGTGACAGGAATAGATATTTCACATCTATATCTTGCTGTGTAATTTGCCAACTGCTTTCATATGCACTATTTGATCCCAACAACAAATATCATAGAAGGAGTATTTTATCTTCTTTCTAAATGAACTAACCAAGAATCATCCATATATTTCAGAAAAATAAATCTGTGTCGAATCGCATCCTCTCTTTTGGAAAGTCTCTGTGGTTTTCCCTTCATGGTAAAACCCTTGGTGGTAAAAGCTCTCCCCAGCATGTAGAACCCTTCCCACGCTCCCCCTCAACCCTCTTCTCCTGCCTCACCAACTTCTTCCTGTGTTCGCACCCACCATGCTCCGCCCACTTCCCCAGGGACCCTCCCATGCCTGAGGCCTCTCCATTTGTTGCACAATAAACTACTCTCATCCTCTTAGACCTTTCAAAGGGTACTTTTGCAAAAGGCACCCTAGAAGGCACAAGGTTTTCATTTAAAGTCTAGGGTCCCCTCTTTGTATTGTTCCACTATCATAGCACTTATGGTACCATCTTTGTTGTATAACTGATTACATGTGCTTTTTTCCCAAATAAACAGTTCCTTTGGGGTAAAATCACTTCTTACTTACCTCTGTAATCCCACTGTGTAGCGTGCTGCTCAGCACACAGCGGCTGCTTTGTTGAACCAACCAGTCTGGGGGCAGAGCCTCAGACCTCAGTGTTGGTTGAGGCAGTCTAGGGACCCAATGGGAGCTGTGAGAATAAATGCATTTGGAGAAGAAGGTGTTATGCAAACACAAACATGAATTCTTCTGTTTGTGGGTTCCCGCCCTCCATCAAAAGTTGTATAGTTTAAAGCAAATCTGCATTCTTATAAACTTGTTTCTTAGAGGAATAAAGAAAAAAGCTAAAAATATTGAAGAATAATTTCACATGGAATTCGATAGCAGGAGTCCTGGGGCTGGAAGCCATGCTGCATGGTTTTTGTCTTGGATTGGCAATTATCGAGTTAACTGGCAAATTAATGTCTAGCAATTAATTAATTAACTGGCATACGCAGCACCTTTCTAGGCCTGACTTCATTCTCTAAGAACAAAGGATCTGGATTAGGTGACTCTAACCCCCTTCCAACTCTATTAATTAGCTATGAAAACACTCTGATGTACAATAAAATTAATGCATTTATATAAGATGAGGCCAAAGTAGGTTTACAGTTGTTCATATGGACAATTACACAGTAATTAATAAATAATGATACAAGAATAAACTCTGTTTTGCATACTCACAACTGTAAACCTACTTTTGCCGCACACTGTATTCCCTTGTGATTTAGTTTTTTATGATTTTTATCACTATAAATTTTCACTAAAACTACTTAATTCATATTATTAAAGGTTTTTCAATGTCTAAGGGGCAGGTGGGGAATAAAGTATTGTTTCTCAGAGTCTCCGTCCAAATTGGCTAACCAAATCACTCTCCTCCACCCAGACCAGGAGTTGGGCTCCCTCTGCCAGGGCCAGAAGCCTAAGGTTTTCCACTTCCATGTGTGTAACTGGGCTCAGGTTCAGAGGTGCTTCTTCTAAGAAAAAGGACAAATCAACCCTTAGGCAAGAGTTGCCTTTCCTCGTGCTTTAGTCAGACTTGCCACCCTGGATTTCTGTAACAGAGCCGGTTACAGGCCAAGCGAGCTTGGGGACATGCCCAGGATGCTGATCTGTAAATGCCATTAAATCATCACTAAATAAATTTAAATATGTAGCATACCTGAAGAAATGAAAATTGGCTCCATCGAAACCGAAGTAGACAAAGCATTTATGTGCGGCAAAAGAAAATCCCCGAGCAAGTCTTTGTAATGCACCCAGAAGGCTGCAGGGCTGACCCCACCCTCTGCAGGACTCTCCATCATCTGAAGTCAGCCAGCAGACCTGACCTGGGGCCAGCAGAGTCAGGCAGCCAACATTCTGAAAGATAATAATAGTACTGATAGTCCATAAAATTCTGTTTACAGAAATGAATCACTTATTCTACTATTCTAATTTTGGAAAGTTTACTATGCCCCCAAGTAAGTTGTCCCGTTTGGAAGAATTGCAAGTAACAATTGATCTCAACTCACAAAATAATAGGTGTATAGCTTTAATAAGTGTAAAATTAGTTTCTCTAAATGTGACAGTTACTTTTATGTGTTATTTGGCTGGGCTATAGAGCCCAGTTGTTTGGTCCAACACCATCTAGATACTGCTGTGAAGGTATCTTTTAGATGTGATTAACATTTAAACAGGTAAACTCTGAGTGGAGCAGATTACTCTTCATAATGTGGGTGGGCCTTATCCAATCCACTGAAGTCCATAAGGGCAAAGACTGAGATTTCCTGAGGAAGAAATACTTCAACATAGAGTTTCCAGCCAGTAGATTTTGGATTCAAGACTGTAACCCAAACTTTTTAAATTTCTAATCTACTGGCTTGCCCCTCAGATTTCAGGTTTGTCAGCCTCCACTTTAGCAGGAGCCAATTCCTTAAAAAATTCTGTATGTGTGTGTGTGTTTGAGTATTCTATTGGTTTCATTTCTCTGGAGAACCCTAGTGCATTATATCTGTACCTAATTCAAACTAACTTTGAAAGTGCTCACCTACCAATATATCAAGAAAGACTACTCCAGTGGAGGAATGTGAGGTGAAGGATGGGGAAGGCAAGAGTGGAGGGCAGAGACTGCTTGAAGATCAGGGGCTAAAGTAAACTGTTGAGACAAGGTGGCTCCTAGGACATCCCCCAAGAGACAAGGTGATCCACATATCTATATTCAACAAATAACCACAGTCTGCTATGGGTGCTTTCCCTAGGCCAGGCACAGCTCTAAACTCTTTGAACATACTGACTCATTCATCAGGACAGCAACCTTAGTGGGTGTAGTTGATAGTTGTATCCTGTAACACAGATGAGGAAGGTGAGCCTCGGAAAAACAGTAAATTACCACCTAACTGTGGACCCAGAATCTATATCTAGACTGTGACTCCAGAAATTAACCTGTAAATTTAACCACAGTGCAAAAATTGTCCCCACAGCAAGAAACAATGTCTGCCAAAGAATTAACTAAAGCCGGGGCAGGCGGGGGGGGGGGAGCATTTTAACAGCAAAGAAATTAGAGAGTGGAATGGATCATCTGGCATTTGGGGACAGGGCTTAGCTAGTCCGGTCCGAAGGATTTTACATTTGACCATGAGCGCTCTTGGCCTTCTCATTAAGAGAGGTTAGGGGTGTGGGAGAGCAACAGAATAACATTTACCAAGTTCCTGCTATTACTGCATCATTCCTGCTCTGACACCCACTGACACCACAGGAAAGGGGGTGGCCTTGTCACTCCTTGTCACCAAGTGTCCTCTGCCACCATTCTAACAGGAAGGGGTGGGGCACCTCTTCAATCCTAGGTTGGGTAGAAGTCTCAGCTCTCCACACAGTCTTCACTGATATTACGGGCACTGGGGCTTTGTTACTAAGACGAGTGAAAAATCCCGGTTCCCTAATCAGCATTGTTGGACACCATTTTGGCAGGGCAATCTGCATCTGAGTCTGAGAGCCTAAGCAGGGTAGACAGAGTCCAGGCCTCCCACTCCACCTGCTGGATGCTCGGGGGTGAGGCTGGAGTGCAGTGATTTGGGTCTAAAATTTTCTGCTTTGCTAGGATACTCCTCTTCTCGTACCCTGGCTAGAGAGAGCAGGCCTTTGTTAGGGCTTTTTTTTCTTTTTGGTTTACACTCATGGGTGTTTTGAGGTGATGGCTTCTTCAACTCTTAATTTGTGATAAATAACGCTAAATACAAATTTAAAAAAATCACCAATGGATCTATCATGCCTTGTGCCCTGAGGTCCCTAGGCAGTCTGCCTTCTTCTCTCACCTTTGAGAGTCTGCTTATGTGTGTTTTTTATATTAATGCTTTTAGTTGTACTTAGCAGGAGGAATAGGGGGAAATAGGTTCACTCCATCTTCCTGGAAACAAAATGTTTGACCTATTTTTGATTATCTGAAAAGCCAATGTCAAACCATTTTACAAACAACTTTGAGTGGGAGAGTAGTCACCACAAGTCTTAACAATGTTTTCAACCCTTTGGCGGGCATGGCCACTCCCACCTCCCGGCGTCCCCGCCTACCACCTTCTTTCTGCACGTCTCTTCCTTTCCTTTTCCCCCTCCCCTAGTCTTTCCCATTTAGAGAAAACCCAACAAATTGTCCTGCCCACCCTTCTCCAAAATCTTAGAGAGGTTCGTTGAGTGTCTGCCATGTGCCAGGTTCTCCAGAATGAGTCCAGCTGAAATCTTCCTTCACCTTGAACAGAAAGTTGCTGAAACATTTTTAGCCTGCTGTTTATTAAGTGACCCTGACTAGTTTCTAAACTAAGTCACAGATAATGATTTCAGATTCATTTCACGTTATCTTCTAAAATATTTCCATTTTAGAAGCCACTGAGTGTTCTGAAAGGTCGGTCACTCAAAGTCATCTTTAGAAAAGCAGCAACAGAATGAGATAAAGGGCCGCAGAGTTGCGCTCACTCCTTCTCTGCCGAAGTGATAAAACTGAACTAATAAACTGAAAATAATGGCCATTAGCACTTTTTAATTTTTTTGGAACACATTTATTTTTCTTCTGAAATAAATAGAAAATCTAATATAAATTACATAATAATTATTAATTACATAATAATTCTGAGTCATTCCCTATGTACTATGAAGGTTATATTATTTTAAGAGTAACAAGTCTAGAAAAATGTGTTTGGTGAAATTCAAAAACCTACACTGAAGCCCTCGCATGAGGGCATTTTAATATGAAAAGCATTTCAGAATGCTTACATGAAAGAAACATAAGGATTGTCAAAAAACAGTTTATGAAATATTCCTAAAAACAGCTGATGTCAAAATATAAAAAATTCCAATTACATTTTCTATAGAGATATGTCAATTTTGAAAGAGAGGGACAGGTAATAGAAATTGGAACATACTGGCAGAAGTTACAAGTGTCGTATAATATGTTTAAAAGTCTCCCTCCAAGGACTGCAAACAAGCACTGCCCTACACACTACGCAGGGCCAGCACCGCCTCACCGCTGGCAGTGACGGGAGCAAGAGTGACACCCCTGGTTCGTGTTACACGTGTTACAGTGGAGAAAACTGAAGACACAAATGGGAGTGAACAGGCAAGGTCATCTCCGGGATGCTAAGTGCTATTAAGATCATTAAAGATGATGTTTGGGAGCCTGACTACCAGAAGGGTCTCTCTTCAGACAGGATGGCCAGGGAAGGTCTCTCAGAAGAGGTGGCTTCTAAGCTGAGGCCTAGAGTTTGTGACAGCACAAGAACAGGGCTGGTGAAAGGAAAAAGGATGCCATGTTTGGGAATCTGAAAGTCACCAAGTGCCCTAGAGGCTAGAGCAAGGCAGGAGTGAAGAAGATGGGCCAGAGCAGTGAGCAAGTGAGATGATGATGACTTTGCACTCCGCAGCGAGAATTCTGATTCCGCACACCGTACCATGGGAACCCACAGGGAAGAGCAGGGAGAGAAACAGGGTGACGAGGTGGAAAACGTTCCACTATCCCCTGTTAAGCTCAAACTGTTTGTCAGCATTTGGAAGGAGATACAACCAGGAAGTTAGATGTCTGAGCCAGGAACTCAGGGGAAAAGGCTGATCTGGAAACACTGATTAGCGACCAGGATATATAGTTGCTATTTGTCTTAGTTAAGTTCCCCCAGAAGCAGAGCCTGGCACAAGCATTCAGATGCAAACAGATAACTGGGAAGTGCAAGAAGCCCTAGCAAGGAAAAGTGGAAAGTGGTTCAGGAAAGAGAAGGTAGCCACTTACAGAGGCACCATTATGCAAATTACTAAAGTGAGGGTGACAAGGGAAATCTGGGGAAAAGTACAAAACACGATGGGCTTTTCCCAGAGTTCCCTTGTTGCCATTTGAAGGATACTGAAAGCTAACTTTCAAGTCATCGGTCAAGGATTCCCCCCAGGCTTGCTGCATTCATAAGCAGGGCAGACTCAGTGATAATAAGGCCCAGAGTTGCAGATGCTGGCAGGTGGGAGCTGGCCAAGCTTCTCTGAAGGGTGCAAGGGATTGGGGGGATTGAGGGAGACTGCGTGGATCAGCCATTTGAGCAGTCAAGATTTAAAACTGTGACTGTAGGTCTAGCGCCTGCTCTGACCTGTCACTCTGCACTGCCTCGTAATACGATGTGTTGATTTCAAAGTATTTAGAAAATACTGAAAATATAAAGACAGTAAAAATACCAAGAAAGTCTTCAAGTTTGTGTGTGACGTTGATAAACTGAGAAGTGAACCTCCTACCTTCTGTCACTTGAATCCTTGAGCAATCAGAAGTAATTGTTGTTAACAACCTTTGCTCTAATAAACATCAGTGACATTTTTTAATCAAAAAGAGGTTAATGTGATTGTTCCTTCGGAATGGTCAATAGAAAAAAATTATTTGCTGCATTTCAATCATCCTCCCATGTAACCCAATTCCTTTGTCATGCTTTCCTCAAAATTCAAATCCTCATTATTAATTTGAATGTGATTAGCATTCCAATAATATATTTACACAAAGGCCATATTTGTTCTAGGGTATTCCCTTTCCCAGTTTCCAGTATTTGGTTGTCTTATGCCGAGCGTTGGGGTTTGAAAGCTGCTGAGGGGGCTCCCACCACCTTTATTTCCAAACTCACACACTTCCCTCACAGCTGCAGGTGGGGGGTCCTGAGGCCTTGGTCTGCACAGACTTCTTTCTGTAATGCATGAGGAGTGACCCAGATTTTTTACGTGCCTAGGACCTCCTCTGAGATAGCAGGCTGCTTTAAAAGAAGGGTTTATGTGGAGAAATCAAACAATTTCAGCTAGGAGCTACCCAGAGATTTTATAATTTGCCATTAGGTAGGATTCTTTTAGGTGATGAGAAGGCATTCTGCCATAGTGAG